TGCAGTAATAAGCTTTAGTTATTTATTGCTGCTTAATCAATTTGTGTGACTTGGCTTATCCAATATTTCAAGTTAAATGCAATGAACATGTTTTTGTAGTACGAAACCCAAATCTGAAGTTTTACCTACTTATTCTTGGTTTATGAAAAATGAATATAAATGTGAGTTTTCATGACTTATTAGGGTTTACAGTAGCAATGTTATGTATAATTTATGTAATATTTATTGCTGTAGCTCATGTAAGAAAGTCATTGATTATAATAATATTTGGTGTCTAAAGTTTTTGTCTTTTTTTCCTGGCAGATTCTGCATTAGTAAATCCAGAGGCAACAGGGTCAAAGTCTGCAAAACACGCTCGAGACATTACAGCAGATGTAGCGACAACCCTACTCCAGCTCATCTCCCAGCAAGCCTCCGAGAGCAGACGTCCCGCTGCAGACCTGTGCCCCGGCCGGGGACCCTCCTCTCCCCCGAGCGCCACCCCACCGCCAGCTTCCTCTTACACCCCCTCGCCCGCAAGCGCTGCTCCGGAAACTCCGTTCACCCAGGACCAAGACCTGAGGTACACCCTGGGAGGAGCCGCCGGCCCTTCCTGAACCGTTCTCTGAACTTGATCTTTTTGTTCGTTGTCATTTTTTTACTTAATGTGCTTTAGCCGCTAAACTTAGGTTTACTACATATTAATATATTTCTTTCTTCCGTTAACGGAAAAAGTGAATGTTGAAGGAACTGTTCTTGAATGCGAATGGATGATGTTCATCCCTCCCACAGCGTTATTTGGAGAGCATCTTTTCCCGCGTCTCCGACTGCAACGGTCTGTGAGTTTTAGCCATGTGTGATTTCTTTGAGGGCTGCGTAAATGTCTAAATCAAGCTACTTTCTTTAGTGCTGTTGTGTGTAAAGCAAGAGACTCGATCCGGCTTGTGCTACTTCATCCTTTCTGATTCCGTACAAAATGGCATGAGGAAAACTTGAAGTAATTTGCAGTACTTGAGGTGAGGCCTTTCATTCATATTAGCTTGTGCAAAATATGTGTTCTTATTTTGATTTTGGGGGGGGGGTGTATGTCCTCATCCAAATGTTGTTTTCAGGACCACAAGGTTTAGCAAAGTTCATTTAAATCAAAAGCATCTTCAGAAAGACACTGAACTGACTTGAATTTTAGCGCCAGATTTGCCCATTTTGATTTGACTCTGCCAAGTGTACATGTTGTAAACTGATAATAAATGAAAAATGTGGCCGAGTAAAATGTGTCTGGTACATTTTATGTAAACATATGCATGTCCATTTTATCATGCACATTTGTATGCACACTTTGAACATTTTGTAGTGCTGCATTAGATAGGATTTCTGAAGTGCATGCAAAATATGCTGCCATAATACTAGGGTTTTGTAGATGATTGCCATGACATTGCTATGCGGTGGATGTTTTGAGTACGTTGCTATGTGGTTACTAGGGTGTTGAGCATTAGTTTTATTCTCCACCAGGTGCAAAAAAAAAAAAAAAGTCAGATTAGTGAAAAAAAGCCAAATCTCTTGAAAATGTAGTAACACACCTCTACAAGACGAGAAGAGAAAATAAATTTAAGGCAGGTAAGATTTGCTTTTATTTTGCCATTTTTAAATACTTTAACAGTTATAAACATAACTAAAATCTACTTGACTGAAGTTAAATGACTCAAAGTTAGAAGTAAATCTACCCCCATTACTGTTGAGTATTATAATAAAGTAATAATAATAGTGCTGTCAAACGATTAATCGCATCCAAAATAAAAGTTTTTGTTTACAAAATATATGTGTACTGTGTATATTTATTATGTAAATATAAATACAAACACGTGCATGTATTTAAGAAAGATGTTTATATTTTATATATATATAAATTATATTAATATAAATATATACATGTGGGTACATGTAAATATTTTCAAAACATAAAATGTGTGTATTTATATACACAAAATATAAACAGTACACATATATTATGTAAACAAAAACTATTCTTTTGGATGTGATTAATTGCGATTAATCGTTTAGCAGCACTGAATAAGAACAATACAACATTCATGCCTTGAAGTTTAATATAAAGGAGTTTGTTTTAATCAAGAAGCCCCCCCCCCCTGTTCTTTCAGGCAGATTCTCATAGATGCCAAATGGAGATTTAGGACACTGGCATTGAGTGCCGCTAACAGCATGGCTCAAATCGGGGGATTTGGGAAGGTCGAGACGTACACTTGTCAGATTTCATCTGTGAGCAAATGCTGCATTAATATGCGAGTGAGAAAATTTGTGTTCAACCATCTGCAGAATGCGGCATTAAAAAAAACAAGCTAGCCGGCCTGAGTGGTCCACAGCTGCTGACATGGTCATTAGATATTGAATAGTTTGGTTTGTTCCCAGTGGAATTCAGGACTTGGGAAAAATGCGAGTAGAAGAGCAAGGACCATTTGTTGCACTTTTTTGGTATTTATTTTAGTTACGTTAGTCTGAAAATGCTTTGAAATGTATTTAGTTAATTCAATGTGTACCTTAATCGAGCCAGGTATAACACTGCAGTTCATAATGCTTTTTTTTTTAATTTGTTTTAATCAAGAAGCCCCCCCCCCTCCCCTGTTCTTTCAGGCAGATTCTCATAGATGCCAAATGGAGATTTAGGACACTGGCATTGAGTGCCGCTAACAGCATGGCTCAAATCGGGGGATTTGGGAAGGTCGAGACGTACACTTGTCAGATTTCATCTGTGAGCAAATGCTGCATTAATATGCGAGTGAGAAAATTTGTGTTCAACCATCTGCAGAATGCGGCATTAAAAAAAACAAGCTAGCCGGCCTGAGTGGTCCACAGCTGCTGACATGGTCATTAGATATTGAATAGTTTGGTTTGTTCCCAGTGGAATTCAGGACTTGGGAAAAATGCGAGTAGAAGAGCAAGGACCATTTGTTGCACTCTTTTGGTATTTATTTTAGTTACGTTAGTCTGAAAATGCTTTGAAATGTATTTAGTTAATTCAATGTGTACCTTAATCGAGCCAGGTATAACACTGCAGTTCATAATGCTTTTTTTTTTTAAACAACATTTTTTAAATAAATCATTTATACTCAGCAAGGCAGCATTTTATTTGATCCAAATTCAGTAAAAACATAATATTGAAGTTTAAAATAACAGTTTTCTATTTGAATTCATTTTAAAATGCAATTTATCTCTGTGATGTGAAGCGACATTTTCAGCATTACTCCAGTCTTCAGTGTCACACCATTCTAATATGCTGATTTGCTGCTCAAGAAACATTTATTATCAATGTTGAAAACAGTTGTGCTGCTTCATGTTTTTGTGGAGCCTGAAATATATATATTTTTTTTATAAAGAACAGTAGTTATTTGAAATTGTAATCTTTTGTAACATGTCTTTTACCCACTTTTGACCAATTTATTTTGCCCTTTAACCATGAAATATTTACATAGTTTCACAATTATAGTAAATGGGATATAGTATATATGCTTTTTATTTTAGTGAGAATATACAGTTCATATCCAGTTACTGTGCTCAAATCCTGGCTGAAATCTTGTAGCAGTGACTGAGTTTCACTCATTTCCTTTAGTCTCGAATAAGAGTTCAGAAGCAGGTCTGAAGATGCTGACGACAGCTTGATTAAAGCCATTTTTAGTCACTATTTTTGGTGCTCAGCTAAATTTGCAGCTCTCGCATGAACACTTGTGCTGAAATAGACCAGACGGGCAAAGCGGAAACGGTTTGATTTATTTGATGTTTGAGCGCTTAATGTTTATTAGTTTATCTCAAGCAAAATATTAGGGGTAAATGTGACCTAGATGTTTTTTACAGGTCAAATTTGATTTGCGGTCTAAAATGTTTTGGCGTTTTCATTATTTCCTATTAAGCTCATGTTTTATCCACTAGGTGTCGCTAGTATGTCATTGTGTTGAGAGAGGATCTTGTCCTGCTGGAGAGTTTGTGTATATAACTTAAAAGGGTTTTTATTATTTTTGAAAGAAAGACTTCAGAGTCTTTGTAGTGCCCAGGTGTGCATTTGCGTCACAAGATCTTTCAAGTGTTGCTTCAGCTGCTTAATGTCCACTGTTGCTTTAGTATTTAATTTACATTCTATATTGATTAAGGTTTTAACCAGCTTTTAATTTTATATTTTCAGGTTTCGTTTTTAATGTACATTTTAGCAACTGTATAGCCTAACTGTATTTTTCTAAATTCCTTGATGTTTATCTTTTAGAAATGTTAAAATTTCTATTTTTAGTAATTACATTTTTATGCTTTATTTCAATTAACAAAAAAATAAGTTTTTATTAATTTGTTTACAATAACAACATTTAATTTGTCCTGATTTTGTCTGCTAAATTTTTAAAACTTGTGCAGAATTATTTGAAAACCATCATTTATACTGTGTAATAATAACATGCCGAACATTATTTAAAATGTGTTTTGGATGCATTTTATACATATGGTTGTCAAAAAGGTATGTAGAAACTTGAGTCACTTTTAAAATATCTGATTGACATTCATCCAAGTTATCATCTTTTGTGTTACAGAATACAGAGAAAGCAAGTCATACAATGTTAGGGTGACATGAGGGTGGGTAAATAAAGGATTTTCATTTTTTGGTGAACTATCCCTTTAAGTCAGAGCCACTGTAACTGGACAAGTTATTGATGCTGTGCTAAGCATCAAATCAGTGTCACTCCTGATGATTTTCAACATCAACACAGCTATTTAGAATGTGTAAAACTGAAGTATACATTGAAATTTGTTGCGGACATGAATTATTGCCCTCTCTCTATATTTCTCTCGCTCTCTATTAATCTCCTATTCACAAATAGAGGCCAAAAGAGGCTCAGCCAGCTGGATGAGATTATCTCTTTTTTCTGATTAGAAATCAACGTCAGCACACCCCCCTAAAACACGCGAGTGTACCATCCTCTCTCTGAGCTCCGCCCCTCTCCGTCCTCCCGGCTGATATAAGGACGCCTACACCGACTCCAAACACTGTGAGAGGGAGAAAACCAGAGGTCACTGATAAGAGAAAGGAAAAAAAGAGGCCGCCGGCATATCTGAGAGGCTCAACAGACAGACAAATCAGAGAAGAGTCAAGGAGAGAGGAGACAGCGCCACCAGCACTGAAGAAAGCTGCCTGGAGGACGCCACGTGTGTGTGTGCATATGTATGTTGAGACAGGCATAGGTAGATTCCAGGGATATTTGTGAGACTGACAGAGGACCAAAGCACATCATGGATCCCTCGACTCCATCAGAGGGCCCCGTGGAACCCAAAGAAAGGAGGAAAATCCAGTTCGCCGTCCCGCCAACAGAACCGACTCAGCTGGACCCTCGGCAGGTTGAGATGGTAGGACTTTCGCGCACGCACACGCTGACTGGTAGCAATGACCCTTTTGGGCCCTGAGCTACTTTATCCTGGTGAAGCGGTTTAAAGTCACTTTGAAGTGTTAGTGTGCATGATGGAGACTTGAACATTTGCTGAAACTCTTGAACCTGTCAAGGGTCATATTTCCAGCCAAAATCAGATTTACTTAAAACGGATAAGTCTTATTTTTAGTTCTTTAAGAAAAATTCCATTGTGACATTTTCATAAATTTAATGCAAAATAAAAATGGAATTACTGGAATGACTCTAATGTAAAAGAAATTGATATATTTTCATTTTTATTGTAGTTTTTTTATTTATGCTATTTAAATTTTTAATAAAAAGTAAAAAAAAGAAGTAAAACTTGAATTTTTTTTTAAATGTAACATTTTTAAGAGCATTTAAAAAACATTTAAATAAAATATATTTTTTCAAATCTGTTACATGAAGTAGAATCTAATGATGTAATGGAATTTACAAAAAATACAAATGTACAACTTATAATGCAAATGTGTAACTTATGTATGCTCTTCTATGGATGATGTTTTATTTTTAAAAAAATATTTATATTATTATTTATAGCTTATTTAAAAATCTTTAAAAAGTTTTAAAAAATCAAATGTTTAAAATGAAGATTAAAAAATAAGTTCTGTTACAATACAAAATGGAATCAAATGAAAGTAAGGGAAATTACAAAAAAAGTATATAACTTTTTATTCATGCTATTTTAATAAAAAAAAAGGTCCATTTTAAAATAAAAAATGTTACAGAAATGAGAATCTAATGACAAAGGACGTCCTGGGAGAAATGTGCTTATTTATTTATCATTAAAGTAATGCCCAAATGCAAAACAATCTTAATGGTCCGAAAAATAGGCTTCATATTCTGTATGTAAAATATAATTTCTCAATTTTTCTTTTAATGTTGGGGTCAAATGTGACCTGGAGTTATGTTTACCCTACACACTCACTGAGCACGCTCATAAAATGTGAAGTTTTAAGGCTATAAATCTGTCCTGGAAATGGTAAACGGTGTGTGACCTGGACTGGGGTGAGTTGATGTTCTGAATACCTGGATGTGGTTTTATTGCCTCTGCATGCAGTGGGTAAATTGCACCGTGTTCATGTGCATGTTTCTAAGTCCGCTATTGATTTTGGCCTTCAGTTGCATTGCACATACATTTTTGAGATAAAGAGGTGCACGGATGGCTGTGAATCTTTTTTTCTGGATCTCTGTGAGTGCAGATGGAAGATTGTGTGTGTGTGTGTGTCATCCTGGACCAGTTCCCTGTCCTGTTGGTGTTGTAATTTTAGTCTTAAAGTGGGTCGGGGAGCTGTTCTGTACTGCGCTGCTGAAATGCAAAACAATCTTAATGGTCCGAAAAATAGGCTTCATATTCTGTATGTAAAATATAATTTCTCAATTTTTCTTTTAATGTTGGGGTCAAATGTGACCTGGAGTTATGTTTACCCTACACACTCACTGAGCACGCTCATAAAATGTGAAGTTTTAAGGCTATAAATCTGTCCTGGAAATGGTAAACTGTGACCTGGACTGTGGTGAGTTGATGTTTTGGATACCAGGATGTGGTTTTATTGCCTCTACATGCACTGGGTCAACTGCACTGTGTTCATGTGTATGTTTCTAAGTCCGCTATTGATTTTGGCCTTCAGTTGCATTGCACATACATTTTTGAGATAAAGGAGTGCACCAACGGCTGTGAATTTGTCTTTTTTTCTGGATCTCTGAGAGTGCAGATGGAAGATTGTGTGTGTGTGTGTGTCATCCTGGACCAGTTCCCTGTCCTGTTGGTGTTGTAATTTTAGTCTTAAAGTGGGTCGGGGAGCTGTTCTGCTGTTCTCAGAGATAGGCCAGCGAATCATCCTCACGAGACACAAGTTAAAAGAGGTGAGAGGAAGAGAAGCCCGATACGTCTGAGCTCTATAGCAGTTCACATAAACATTTGAAAACGCATTTATTCGGTAAAGGTATTATTCATACAAAAGTGAAGATACGTGCATTAGTTACTCACCAAATTGACTTTTTAATGGAACACCAAAAGAGAAGATTGGAAAAATGTCTCCGCTCCAAACAGTCTATTTTAGTATCATTGAGACACTATATTTATTGTCTTGAATCAGCTTTTATTTTTATATTTTTCCTTTTAATTTTATTTAAAATGTTAGTAGTTTATTTGCTTTCATTTTTAATATTTTGTTTTTGTTATTTTAGTACATCAAATTAAGCTAGTTTAAGTACATATAGTTTACGTAAGTTATCAATTTTTATTTTATTTTTATTTATTTTTTTAATTTTAGTTTCAGGTTTAATTGTAGTTAACTATAATAATAATCCTGTCTCCACTTCACACCAAAATGTCAAAAAAAAAATCACCATTATAGCATTACAAACATAGTAAAAATGATGTAAAAAGTTCTAAACCGATAAACAGACAAGACATTGTCATTACAATCGTATGAATCTTTTTTTTGTTTTTTTTTAAGTTTGAGCTCAAACCAATTTTTGAGTTGATCTAGTTTACAAATTTGGCTGTTCATATAGGTTTGAAACTACATGAGGGTGAGAAAATGGTGACAGAACTCAAGCGTAGCGTTAGTTCTGGCAGGTCACGTTAGTCAAGCTCGCATCAGCTGACTCTCAGCTGATCCCCATCTACCTATAGGAATACGACACCTATCTAAGCACTCATATATAAGGTCCCTCAGTATTATCAGCCGTTTTCGCATTGCTCAATAGCTAATTACCCTCCTCCATCCCCAGCTCCTCCTCTGTCAGTCAGAATTCAGCCTTCTGATTATCCTTTGAATCAGACTAATTCTAAAATGTGTACATTAAAAATTATTGAACTTTAACGAAATCTGCAATACATTTATGTTGGTTCTGTTCAGTTTACCCTGGGGGGGTTATCGCTGCTGTCCCTGCTCTCATCCATGCTAGGCTGCATGGATGCGCAGGGAGTTCTTGCCCAGAACAGAACCATACCGCCAATCCAAACTGTACGCTAATTGTCAATCATCTTTGACGATAATGGTCCTGACAGAATTTATATTTTTGCATGAACCATTCATTTAAATTCAAGTGTAATGTTCTGTATGGAAAGTATGTGTGTTGTGAAGACATTGTGTCCTTTAAGCCTCTTGAGATGGACGCATATGCTGTGCTTGTTAGTGCCAGATTTCATGAATGGATGGGTTGCGCCGGGTTCTAGTGCTGGCAGAGCAGAGGGTGTGACATGAACAAAACCTGATGATCATCTACTCTAGCCTGATTTCAAATTATCCAAAGTGCATCTTGAGCTTCAATGAAAGGAAGAACATCTGATCATTTTGTCTTAAATTTAAATCTAAGGTTGTTTCCAACATCATTTGATGATGTGTACATCAGCTTCTTCCTTAATCGTATTTTGAGGCACATGGAAACAGTCCAGCAGCGTCTGTGGAACAGCTTGAGCTGAATGAGTTTTTTCTGGCTCTCTGGTTTCTAACTGAATCTTCCGGCCATGTTTCAAAATTGCGCATGCAGCTAAGTAGTTAATCAGATATATCTATATATATATATCATCAAGGAAGCATTACATTCATCAAAATTGACAGTAAAGAAATTGATAATGTTAGAATAGATTTCTATTTCAAATAAATGCTGTTTTCCATTCATTGTGTTTTCTATTCATAGTGTTTTTACAAAAATATGAAGCATCAATTGTTTTCAACATTGATAATGATAAGAAATGTTTCTTGAGCAGCAAATCAGCATATCGGAATGATTTCTGAAGGATCATGTGACACTGAAGACTGGAGTAATGATGCTGAAAATTCAGCTTTGCATCACAGGCATAAATTACATTTGAAAATATATTCCAATAAAACAATGAAAAATGCATTTATTAATCTTAGTTAATGTTGATTCCAGCTAAAGTTAACAAAGATTAATAAAACAAATGTATTGCTCATTGTTAGTTAATATTAGTTAATGGATTCAATATAGTTAACAAATGGAACTTTATTGTAAAGTGTTTCCAAGAATGTAATAAGAAAATGCAAAGAAAATTATTTTTGCAGTGCAAATGAAACCTGACTGTCGTGCGTCACTATGTGGACACCACAAAGGACTTGGACAGGGTTGCGTGCCACTTATTAACTTCATATATTAACAGAAATCAGGGTTGCTACTTCACCGTCCTAGTTTTTATAATTGCCTTCGAACCCTCAGCTACTTTTGAAACAAGGACCTCTTAAGAACAGAGATCACTGAAGACATCAGGATGTGAACTAGTAACCCGCTTCATTTCTTTATATTAAACACCCATCATTACATTCACCTTTATCTTATTTAGGATACACACTAGATGAAGTACAGCTGACGCTGATCCAAACTATGGATTCTATATATACGGCAGCACAGTTTAACTTTAGATGTCCCAAAGGGGATAAAACACCCAGGGAACTTCATCAGCCTAGATCTGAATTTCATTATGAGGCTGAAATGAATGTCTGTTACACAAAATTATGAAAAAAAAAAATGTTTGGATAAAGGGAAAAATTAACACCTAGTTTAGAGTAACATTAGTGTAAAAATAGATATTTTGCCCTATAGTTTACTTCTAATTGAATGATACCATAAGGACCACTAATGTTTTTCCTGTTGCACCCAGGGAACTTCATCAGCCTAGATCTGAATTTCATTATGAGGCTGAAATGAATGTCTGTTACACAAAATTATGAAAAAAAAATGTTTGGATAAAGGGAAAAATTAACACCTAGTTTAGAGTAACATTAGTGTAAAAATAGATATTTTGCCCTATAGTTTACTTCTAATTGAATGATACCATAAGGACCACTAATGTTTTTCCTGTTGTTTTTTTTTTGTGATGGGGTCACATGGGGAAGTTGTCATTGATAACATGCCCTGCTATTGGGTTTTAGAAATTGTATTTTTTCACACAGTGAAAAAAAGCAAGACAAT